CATCTTCTTTGTCCAGTCACCTGTTGATGGACATTTAGGCTGTTTCCATGTTTTGGCTATTGTAAATAGTGCTGCTATGAACATTGGAGGAATCCTTTATTTTAGACAGTAATTAGGGAATATCTAAAACTACCCAAGGAGAAGTCATAGCAAAGATATAGGAAGCAATTCTTACTTTAAGAGCAAAGTTCACTTTACTTTCCAGTTTAACGACCCAAAGAGCTTAGCAAATCTATGCACTTAAACCTTTAAAACAACATAGTTAAGTCTAGGTTTCACTTTGTTAAGTTTTTAGAGAACAACTTTTAATTTTATATTAAGATGATTATTGTAAATGAATTCGTCTTATCTTTCCCCACTCCCTAATTAAACCTCCTGTGTTGTAGAAACTTTGGTTTTCACTTGTTTTTATCAGTTCAGGAATATCTCTGAAACATAAATGGATTACTTCTGAATTTTCAAAAAAGAGGTTATGAACTCAGTAAAAGAGGAAGTGTATCTTACTATTCTTTTGGAAAATAAGCTGTTTCCCTAAATGTGTGGACTTGGCTTTTTGCTTTTGGGTCATAGACGTTTAATCCCCATTGCTTTCTGGATTTGGTGTTGCAGAAAATCATTGTAACTGTTCCTAACCCCCTAGAACAGAAGTCATTACATTTTTTTCTGTAAAATTCCTGATATCAAGTATTTTAGTTTTTGTGAGCCACTTACTCTTAGTTGCAACTCTGCCATTCTAGAATGAAACAGGCATATAGTACATGAACACATGAGAGTGACTGTATGCTAGTAAAACTTCATCTAGCTGGATTTGGCCATGAGCTATAGTTTGTTTAACTCAGTCCTAAAAACCTCCAGGCAGTCATTTTACATTTTTACTTTCCCAGTGACCATATGAGATAGGTATTGTTTTTTATGGCTTTACTGTGGTATAGTTGACATATAATAAACTGTACAATTTTACAAGTATTGACATATGTATACAATTGTGAAACACCACTATAATCAAGATTGCAAACATTTTTATCACCCCAAAACTACTTCCTTCAGCTCTTTTGTAATCCATCCCTCTGCCTTGCCCAAGGCCATCATTGATCTGGTTTCTCTTACTGTAGCACTATAGCTTCCAATTTTTTAGAATTTGATATCAGTGGACTCATGGTATTACCTATTCCTTTCTTGATCTGGCTTCTCTGACTCAGCATTATTCTTTTGAGATTCATCCATGCTGTTGTTTGTATCCATAGTTTGTTCCTTTCCTTTCTGTTGTGGAGTTGCATTCCATTGTATGGACACACCATAGTTTATTCATTACTATGTGACGATGGGTTGCTTCCATTTGGGGGCTATTAAAAATAAAGCTGCTATGAGCACTGATGAACATGCTTTTATATAGATGTGTTTTCATGTTGTTTGCAAATACCTAGGAGTGGAATGCGTTGGTTGTATGGTAGGTATATGTTTACATTTTTAAGTAACGAACTATAGAAATGATCCCTGAAAGTACAGTCTTACATTTTTAAGTAACTATCCAGTTGTTTCTTAAAGTGGTTGTACTATTTTAAATTGTTATTCTCACCTGCAGTGTGTTAGAGCTCCAGTCGCTCTACCTCTTTACCAGCACTTGGTATAGTCAAACTTTTAAATTACAGCCATTCTTGTGGGTGTAAAGGATCAGCTCATTGTGGTTTAAATTTGCATCTCCCCAATGATTAATAATTTTGAGCATCATTTCTTACACTTATTTGTCATCATATAAATTCTTTAGTGGAGTGTTCCAATTTTCTGCTCACTTTATAAAATTTTTTCATCTTTGGAGTTTTGAGAGTTCTTTATATTCTGAGTACAAGTTTTTTTTAATCAGATATAGGACCTGTATTTTTTTTCCTCCCAGTTTGTGCTTTTATTTTTCATTTGCTTACCCGTGTAATTGACACGATTTTGATTTGTCGTATGTGGTGGTGTGATTAGAAAGCATACACTCTGGTGTTGAGACTGTCAGGGAGTTTTGAATCCTAGCCTTGGAACCTAAGGAAATTGATATTCTAAGCCACAAGATGCTTCTTAAAAATTTCTTGTCATATACATTTCTGGTTTTCTTATGCCTTAACCATAAAGTTTATATGAATACAGATATGAATATAATTTGGTATGATTTGGTAAAAAAGAAATAGCTGGGGTAATTATATGAACAAAACAAAAACAAATTCAATAGAGCTTAATACCGCTTTATGACTTCTGGATTTCTATACTTTTACTAGTTTGACACCTTACCCTCTTAAGGGATAGTCCAAAGGAATACTTTCTTATAATGATGTAATTTTCTTATAATCTGGACTATCTTAGACTAATTTCACTTATTGCTGTAGTCA